GAGAGAATGAGTGATTTGGGCGAAAAGAAAAGGGGGAGGGGTGAGAAGGACCAAGTCGAATGAAGACAGGAGACAGGAGGGATTAATGAAATCGGTTGGTGTGGTTTCCTAAAAATACAGGCCGATGTAGGTCGTGAGGCTGGTGGCCTGCGGCGGGTGCTGTCCACGCTACCACCGTGCCGGTCCGTGGCCAAAGGCCGTGCCCCCGCTCACGTACGTGTCTGTGTGTTGGCCAGAAGGTTTTGTGAATGAGGCCCTCGGCCGAGTCGGGACGGACCAATCATTAGAATCTTACATTTACGCCTGTCGGTGCGATCTAAGAAACTGCCAGGGGCGTTCGAAAAATCGAGTGGCGCGACCCCTAAGCGTTGACCTGTGCTGTGAACCAGACAACGCCAGAACAACATCATTGTTAAATCACTGGTAATCGTGCCAACGAACGTATGTCAAAAAAAAAAAATCGAGTCGATTGAATTTCGGTCTGTTTTCAGAATATATAGTTTTCGTGTCAAAATACCTTGAAATAAAAAAGTTGATTTATTTTGGACATACGTTCATTGACACGATTACCAGTGAATATCCTGTAATTAGTCAGCGCCCGAACCTAGTCCCTTCTTTTCGGGGACGACTACCCTGATCTATAGGTCAATCCGCCTGCTGACTGTAGGCAACAGACACTCCTCTGGCAGAGGGGCCCTAGGAAAGAGGACCTTTCCTTCCGGTCTAGTCTTGGAGGACTGTCTCGAATAAGACCAAGCAAGCGGCTGCGCAATTTTCACTTTCAAAAATGTGCCTTTTGCGTCTGCCTAGCGGCCAGGCGCGCCGCGCAGCAGCGCCCAAGCGCCCCGCGCTGCCCCTCAGTCAGTCAAGACGTTGAGGGGCGTGATCTGGGCTGGGCTGCGCGGCGCCACGCGGGGTGAGACCGAAGTCGCAACGCGGGCCGGCCCGATCGAGGAGTCTTAATATAGCGAGGCGTTAGCGAGCCCCCCGCGAGCCGTGACGTCACCCGCGCCCCGATGGGGCCCCGGGCCCCCGCCCGCCGCGGCCACGCCCCCGGCGTCCCCGGCGCCCGCAGCCCCAAGAGTGCGGGGCTCTCGTTGCTCACCAGATTTATGGCGGGTCTCAATGCGCCGGGCCATGGCCATACCCACTCCGTCGGGCCGGTACACTTCACACTAAAACCCGTACGCGTTTGGTTGTGCATAAACTGTACATGCAGAAATTTACGGAGCCATGAGATATGCACACTTGCATGCTTAATTAATGTACAAATGCGTCGACAAAAGCGTGCATAGTTAAGTATTACGTGTACATAATTATGCATATTAGTTGTTGCGCATAAAATTATGCATGTTTACGCACAAGAAATACAAAAATGTTTATTGTGTTAAGGTCTTGCTAGAAACCTAGAATTTTATTTTTTGGTTCCGTTGTCAGCGAATGTAATATTACATGTAAGCTGCGAGAGTGAAGTCCTTTCATTTTAGCCTGCTAGGGTCGGCTGCCAGACCAGACCGATTTTTTTGAAATACTGGGGCAAACAAAAGCAACTCACTTTTCTTCATGTTTTACTGTCTGAATTATAACCATTCCAACAACTGCGGCGATCAAGCGATACTTGATTTAGCTTTTTGGCGTGGCGTCGTGGCGTGGCGGCCGGCCCAACCATCCGACCGGCATATCTAGATAATTTGAATAACGGAAACGGAAAATGTCTGCATAGCCGACCGACACCCGCCGCTACCGTTAGTTGCTCACTTTATCTACTGGAAATGTTTGAAGCTGCCTAAAAGCCGACTCAGCGATAGTTTTCTTTAAGTTGCAAGCGTGGAGAGTGAACATGCGCCGCATCCGATCTGGGTTGAAGGCGGTGGTGCGCGTCTGCGACCAGCGTGGCGTGCTCCCTAGCTGGAGAGCGGTCGGCGCGGGCCAACGTCTAGGACCCACGGGGCCCTATCAGGATCAGGCCACGCCACACGACACCCGGCAGTGGGAAAGAAACCGAACGCAAAGATCGTCCCGGGGGCTCGAGTGGGAAGGCGATCTATTCGCACTGCATCTTGGGGCAGAGGGCACAGGGCCTCAAACGACTCATTCGAAGGGTTTAGCCAAGCAGCGGGACTCAGCAACGCGTCATTATAGGGGCTGTAACGTTAGTTAAGGCATTACAGTTACAACTTGCACCATCTATATACATTCGACTTGTCCAACTGTCAGTATATGTAATCCCTGAACAAGTTGGAGCATTGTTGAAGATGAACAACTAAACTTTTTGTTGAGCATATGTATTGTTACGTTATGTTAGTAACGGTTCGTATTATGACAAATTACGGAGCCCTGTCAAGCAGAAAGACCCATCCGGCGACTAAATGCAGGCGACGAACGATCACTTGTTGTTGCTTTGCTTGCAGGCAACACGGAGAGAAGTGCCTTGTTGTCGCAGCTGGACTCGTCGCTAAATGACTAGATTACCTTGCAATAGATGAGAAAAAAATATTGCTCTTTTGCACCACTTTCGCTGAGGGATCATCCAGAAAGTACGTCCGGTCTCCAACATAGCGCCTGGTGGGTAGACAACAACATGCCTGCAGTGCATGCGTGTATTGCGGGGCGGCCTACCCGGAGTATCGCAGGCGCTGAGATGCTGAGATCATACAATCTTTAAAAAAAGACGGACATATTTTCTGGACGATTCTTTAGCAGACGCTGCAAAATTACTTTGCAGTGTCAAATTTAATCTCAGCGGCGTAATATTTGCTGCGACAGCAAAAAGTTCTCAAAATTTAGCAACGATTTTAGCTGCGGCATCAAGGCTTTTCGCCTTATGAAGTTGTACTCACCGGCGATCTGTTCTGGGGGAAGATCATCCTGGAACATAAAGAAGAAAAAAGGTTGTGATACTTGTTTTTTTTTTTCCATGACAAAGAACCACAGGAAGCACTCGCACAGCATAGCACGAAGAGGGGAGAGGAGAGGAGGGGGTTCTCATACGAGCAGGATTCAATTTGCCGTTCAGTATATTGACTAGTGGTGCTGCTGGCCGGGGTTCGGGGGCTGTCCTGTACGGCCGGCCGGGTCGAAAGCTTTGCAGCCCCAGCCGAGCTCTTTGTGTGCCGTCCTCAGATGTGGGTTGGAAGCGGAGGGAGCCGAGAATAGTATTATATAACACGATCCAGAACACAAAGTGAAAATAATACACAGGATCCACAGTATTAGACTGCACGAAAAAAAAATAGTCACTGTAAGTTCCTTACGAACAACTGCTCTTCGTAACGTACAAATGATTTGGGGCATTTGTATTACAAACAAATTGTTTGTATTACGAGGAGCCTGGTTTGTATAACAAACGAGGCTTTTCGTACACCCAGAAAAATCCTTTCTTGTTGCATGTAAATTTTAACTTGTTTCAAGTGCACGTTCACACAAGATCAAATTTACTCTTGAATCAAGCTGACACTTTCAAATTCGAGAAAAATCTTATTTCAAAGACAAAATTGCCTTGTTTCAATGGTGAATTTCATCTTGTGTCAGCTTGCACTTGAATCAAGAAACTATTTTTCTGGGTGTATTGCGAATGGGAGGTGTTCGTAGTATGAAGAAAAATCGTTCGTAATATGGCTGCTTTAGATCCTTTGTAAGTTACAAACAAATTCCTCGTAATACGAACATCGCTGTTTGTAAGGAACTAAGAGTGGTTTCCAGCTTAACATTAGGTATACGAGCTGACGTGTTAGCTACCTGGGAGACAGACAAGAAAATTGGGAACAGTAGCTTATAATTCGTTGCGAGATCTAATCTGTGACTGTCGCATATAAAGCGTTGACTGCAATTGCCCAAGTGCATTAGGGATCATCCATAAAGTATGTCCCCTCTCGCGATATATACTTATATTTTTTCTCCCCCCCCCCCCCATCTCAAAATCTCGGACCACGGGTGCTTTTCCGCCACCTCGCCTCACAGAGTTGGCAAGGGGAGCGCTAGAGTTGACACATGGCCAGCGGAGTGCCGCCGCACTCCTGGTATCATCAAAGACCATCGGCCAGAGGTCTACCGCTGCAGGCGGGCTGGCAGGAGGCCAGTGCATGCGTGCAAGGAGGGGAACAACAATAAAAACAAAAGCACAATCCACGTTGTCTGGGGTCAGTGTCGGTAATTAGAACGAGAGCGAAAATAAATCAGAAGATAGAGGAAGATGGGATAGACGAGTAGACGTACAAAACTACGCGTGCAGACCAGTGCAGACCAGACGAAATTAATTAAAAGCAATATTCCAAGTGCAAAAGTGCATGGTTACCGAGCGTTATTTCGGTATCTTACCACTATCAAATTCTGACGTCCCACATATCGGTTTTACTTAAAAATCAGAATATCAGAACGACTACGCATTGTTCGACAACGTGCCCGTACAAACCGAGCGCCCTTTAGGCGCTACTATCGCGCTTTTGATTGCGTTCTTTTATTCTAAAAGCGCGATAGTTGCGCCTGAAAATCGCTCGCAGTAAGAAAATTTTTTGGCTGCCGGCACTGGACACCTGTCTCGTGCTCCCCACTTTTTCGCCGTTGCAAAACGTTTAGTTCTGGCCAATAAAAGTTAGTTCTAATTTTTAGGATTTTATTCATTCTATAACGTTTTTTCTAACGTTTTGGCAGCGGAAATCGGTAACAGGATGAGAGTGAAGCGCGGGAAAGTGAGCGACTGGCGGGAGATAGCTAAGCAGCTAGGTTAGCGGGAAATTTATTCATGATAAATCGTTATTGTTTGACGAAGAGGAAGGTGAAGCAGGATTGTGGGAGAGGGGGAAGGGAGCGAGATTGGCGCATATTTGCGGCTTTAGCGTTGCCGCAGGTGGCTTGTCAAAGCAAAGAGCAACTCAAGGGTGAACAGATCTCCCTTCCCGTAAAGTTTGGAATAAGCCACTTAACAAGTCATACACCAAGCTGTAAGATGATACGGCAGGTGGCGCCCTTCTAGAATGAGGCAAAGTCAACCACACAAACGGTTAAATCTCTCTAAGTAGCCGGTGGAATCGGGTCTGCACATCACAGGTGCTAGGCCTGTCACTCACCAGAGTACTTCATTAATACACCTACGTTGAAAGTTAAGATGGTAACTCCGCCGCAAAATAAGAAGTCACTTATTCACTTGCTTATTCATAACCGGCTCATATTTACAATTTGTAAACTATCGTGTGATAGAAAACAGTTAAAGATCCGGGCATCCGAAGTTAAAAGTGAGAGACCATACACGTGTCCTGACACCAAGGTACTAACGTGAGACAGCAGGTGTCCGATGCCAACACTACCAACACCTGTGCGATTTCTATGTCTTGCAGTTAACTGGTTAACATTGTCACATTTAAATTACCAGAGCACGCAGTTCACCCCTCTCCTCTGTAAATCAGTATCATGATTTTTCACAGAATTGTAGCAAATAGAAAACACTGTCTTACTGGTCACCACAGGCATGCCAGACTACTTGAACTTAAATGGGGGTTATACCAACAAATCACCGGCAACTTTTACCTCACTAGGTAACTCTTCCGCCGCACCTAAGGCGTTCCACCCTACTCACCATGGCTACGGTTGGTGTGTTGGGGTCTCGGTCTAGTCCTGAAGCGCTGTGCTAAAAGCTCTCAGCTTTCAGCCCTTCTTGTGGTGTGGTCCGGAGAAGACTGCTGGTCCGCTGGCCGCCGCTGGCTGCCGATGGCACCTGAAGCTCGCTGTGCTGCGGGGGTTGCTGGTGCTTGGTGCTGGTGCGTGGGGGTCCTGCCGGGGCTCACAACACGACTACTGCCGCCCCCCCACCACCGGCTCCTTTTTCTGCCCTCGGCTGCTTGTTGTTGCCGGCCCGGCGCCGCTGTCTAGCCGATGTCGACGTCCGGCCGTCTCGACGCCTCCCCTTCCTCCTCACCCCCACCTCACCTCTGCTCCCCATCCCCTGCCGCACCCCTCCCCGGGAGGGAGAGAGGAGGGGCCCCCTCGACTGGAGGGAGGGGTCGGGGGGCCCTCGCGCCGCACAGTCTATCCTGGCCGCGGGCAGGGCCGCGGGCCGCGGGGCCGAGCGGGGGCTATAGCTGTTTTCGAGGCCTGGCCTGGTGAAGGAGGGGGAGGGGGTGCAGCCGAGGGAGGAGGGGAAGGGGCGTGTCGTGGTGGGATCGGGGACGCAGCGGGGCGAGGTGTATTCTTCTGAAACCAAAACAACTGACTTCAGGACCGCGAGGGTTGGGGGTTGGTGTGAGGTAGTAAGAGATGGATGTCGACTATAGAGCAAGTGGAAGTGGGTCGCGTCACACTACGTTTTAGTGCATATGTAATTAGGGGTTCAACATCAGGGTTTATTTCTCAATTTCGCTCGATATGCTCGTACAGCCGTGCATTATAAACATCTGTACTCCTCGACGATGATGATGTTCGATGCTTTTGACTGGGTGGAAGTAGAACTCGCGCCAATACCTTGCATCTCGGCCCCCTACTCGCTCTTCTCTTTCGATCACCGCGACCTGCTTTTCGGCACCTGTCGGTCAAGATGCGACCGCCCGGGAACCAGCGCGGCTGCGTCCCATGTACACCCAAAATAAAAAATAAACATGCCGACAGGTGATCCCTCCTGCTTTGAGAGGCCTTTACGGGGTGGGGTGAGCAGGGCGTAGGATTAGAATCGGGATCAGTGGCCGAACAAAGGCGCCAAATCTGTCACCAGTCAACCTGATCCCAGCTGTCTGCTTGGCCCACCGCGACGGAAACCTATCGCCAGTGATGTGTCGGAGGGGAGGAAGGAACAAATGGGTGAGATGAAGGGGGGGGGGGTGCAGTGCAGAGGTCAGCGAACGCAACGCGCCGAACTTTTTGGCAAGGCTTTGGTTTATTAGTCTTCCTGAGAAACCAGCAGACAGCAGGACCTGTTGTGCGGGCGGGGCGGTGGCCGGGTGGGCCTCAAGGGGTCGTCTGGGGACGAACTGCGTGTTGTTATTGTTTGGCGAGGCGAGGGACCTCGATACACGCAGCAGGTGCGATTGTAGGAGGGGATGTATTCATATGCGCGCGCGCGCGCGCGCGAGAGAGAGAGAGAGAGAGAGAGAGAGAGAGAGAGAGAGAGAGAGAGAGAGAGAGAGAGAGAGAGATATTGGAGAAGGGGGGGGGGGGACGCGCCGGCCACTGCACACAAAAAATAATAGAGTGTGAAAAAAGAAGTGAGGGGACTGGATACTAATGCCTTGATGGTAATCAATAACTGCCTAGACGTCTGCTGAGTGTGCAAAGTTCTTAAATTTGAAAAACACAACCAATCGGAGTGCACGTTTCTACATTTGCTGCGCCAGTGCGTCCATCGAAGGTACACTTAGCTAGCTTTACCGTCACCGGTGCCGCGTTGCTGTTCCTCTGTGTATAATTTAATTTGAAAAGAACATGGGATTGTGAACGGAAAACAATAACCTGGCTCTCCAGTTTCAGAACTGTGACCATGCAATGCGTACCACCCAGCTGACTGCCCTACAGGGCATTATATGTACTATAGGGGTCAGTGATGCCAACCCACGACACGAAATGTGGGCAGACAGTGGTTGGAGGGGTGTGGGTGGGGAGGGGGCATTGGGTTTCGTCCTTGTTTATGCGGTGCAACCGAGGTTACAAAGGAGGTAAGTAGTTAAGTTTGAGTAATTTCTCCGTTTCTAAAAGTTTGTGAAGCTTAGTCCTTGTTGCGATGGCTACCTACACTAGCCCATCCCACCCCAAAAACGTTTTTCGAGGTACGGAGCCTAAATGGTAGTTCTGACCTACAAGAGACCGGACCGGGGCGAACGACTCGGGCTGAAAGTGTAAACCTATGGGCCCTACTTTGTATCAGATGTGAAGGATCCGAGCTCCGAACACACGGGGCGTGTCCAGGGGCCTAAACGTGCACCCGACGTCACTCGCCAGTTACAGAAAATAGTGCTGACGTAGCCCTAACTTTTTATTGCATGAAAACCGAGGACACATTGAGACCTTTCAGAATCAGTAATGTCTGCGGGGTAGCGGTTACGCGTTCACAAGAAAAAGTTTGAAAAACAGGTATTTGCGCCTGTGGTGACGTCACTTAGCCTGCCCGCACTACACTCCTGTAGTGCACAGTAGCCTAGTACACAGGCGTTTTGGACGTTTTTTGCGAGGGGGCCACCAGGCTCCGCTGTCCGTCGAATTGGTCAGCACGCCGTGTCTGAAGGCTCATACGCTTTCCGTTCTCATCGACTGCCACGCAGTTTTATCAACTTCGCTCGTCTCATCTCATCGTTCTCTCTCCCCGGCTCGGGCCGGGGACTGTTTCATCGTTGTGATTTCTTGTCGGCACCCGTTTCGGGCCTCAACATTGCACTTACGTTGAGGTGTGTCCCAAAGGGGACTGGCTGACGCTTCTTCTTCTTTCTGCCTCCTATAGGCGCTTCTTCTTGCCTACTATAGGCGCTTCTTCTTGCCTCCTTTAGGCGCTTCTCCTACTTTTTGCCTCTTGTTTTTGCTCCACGTTTCATGTTCGTTGTGGCCTCCGTGCCTCTCCCCCTGTTTTCCCGCCATTTCCCTCCTCGCTCGCCCCGCGTAACAGGCTTCACCGTACCGCATACTTCATTTATGTTCCCCTCGGCCCTCGCGCCGCCATCGGTGCTGCTTGCAGCCATCCCGCTCTCTGAATATACATCCCACCAGGCCTGCCGCGTAACAGGCGTCGCCGCAGGCGGTCGGCCGGCACTCGCCCGCCGACCAGCCCCCTCGCAAAAAACGTCCAAAACGCCTGTGTACTAGGCTAGATTGCGTGATTTCACATGATTTCACGGATTTCGCATATTATTTTAGAAGATTTCACGCTAAAACCTACCGGCAGATTATGTCTGATTTGAAGGATTACAGATGAATTCAGCGGATTTTACCGGATTTTGGCGGATTTCACAAGATTTCGGCGGATTTTACGTGATTCCGGCGGTTTTTACATGACCTTCTAAGGATTTCAGACTAAAATTTGCTGGCAGATTACGCATGATTTCATGATTGCAGGTGGATTTCAAATGATTTCGGGAGGATTTCAGGGAGGGCGTACACATGATTTCAGGAGTGGCGGCCCTCTCGGTTTTTTGCCTTTTCCATTTACCGCCTCACCGCGACCCCGCAGACATTACTGATTCTGAAAGGTCTCAGTGTGTCCTCGGTTTTCATGCAATAAAAAGTTAGGGCTACGTCAGCATTATTTTCTGTAAATGGCGAGTGACGTCGGGCGCACGTTTAGGCCCCTAGACACGTCGCGTGCGTCGGGAACACGGACCCATAGGCTAACACTTTCAGCCCGAGTCGTTCGCCCCGGTCCCACCGTGCGCGCAGTGCAGCGCCTACAAGGTGGTCTACCTGTTTGACGCCAAGGTTGGGCCAAAACGAAAATCGAAATGCGATCCGGGTAAACGTTGTCGCACAGGCCCTGGACTTTGAACAGGGTCTCTCTTAGGTGAAATCTACCAATTAGGCCCCGTACCTCCGAAATCCACGATTTCGACCCATGAAATGGGTTGGGCTAACCTACACCATGCGGCAATTAATTCTGAAGGAGACAATGACTGACCTGGAGTGTATCCATTGGTGGCAAGAGTTGAAGTTAATTAGTGACAAGTATAGGTGCAGTTCTTGTGGTATTGAGATGTCAATGGTGAAGAAGAAGAATGTTACTTACGGCTATTTGTGGAGGTGTTTTAAGTGCAAGACATGTAGGAATATTGGGGCCGGCTCCTAGTTTGCTAAATCTAGACTGACGTTGAAGAATATAATGTTGGTGACCCACATGTGGTGTAACCACCATTCACAGAAGCAAGCCCGCAAGGAATTAGGTAATGGTACACATGCGTCTGTAGACTGGTTTAATATTTGCGGACAAGGTGCTGTAGGAATTATGGTCAGTGAGTTTGAACCTTTGGGTGGTCCTGGCAAGATTGTTGATATAGATGAGTCACTTGTAGACAAGCGTAGATACAATCGTGGCAAGAGGAAGGTTTCTCAGCAGTGGGTCTCTGGCGGAATGGAACAGGGCTCCACCAAGTGTTTTTTTCATACAGTGAAGAAGCAGAACACTGCCACTTTGGTTCCTCTGACAAAGAAAAATATTTTGCCGGGGACCACGATCTGTTCTGATTGTTGAAAGGCAAAACAAATTTAATCATTAATTTGTCTTGTTGTTTCTGTTTACTATAGGCACTGGAAAAAGTTTGATAATGAGAGCAATGACGCAAAAAATCATGACACAACTGGGAATTGACTCAATAATGCTGTTGGCACCAACAGGTGTTGCAGTTGCAACATCAATGTATCGACCATTCAATCCAAATTACGGTTTGTCAAAATAAATGACTTTGTTGAGCTGGAGGGTGCAAATGCTCGTAAATTTTGCAACGAAATGAAGAATGTCAAGTTCATAGTGTTTGATGAATTTAGTATGATTGGGTGTGGGTTATTAGGATTGACAGACGTCAGAGACAAGCTACAGGGAATTATAATGATGAATTTGGTGGGCTGTATGTTTATTTCCTTGGTAAGGTTTTCTTGATTCATACAAAAAAAAAAAAAAAAAAAAAGGTTTTGAGAGGAAAACTTTTTAAAATGTTTCAGGTGGTATCTATCAGCTGCCACCAGTGTTTGATCATCCATTTTATAGGAAGAGTACTCCCTTACACCCTATTGCTAAACAGGGACAATTAGTGGGACAAAAAATATCTAGCGCTGTTATTCTGGCTCATATGTGCGCAGACAAAATGATTCCAAGTTCAAAGATGTTCTCAACAGGATTTGTAAAGGTCAAGAAG